ATCGAACGAGAGTACTTGCATGGAGGTCTACTCACATGTCAAGCAAGTAACTCTAATGGTTGGAAAGATGTAAGTAATCCTTAGACCTAAGGCATCGTCGTTGTCTTGTGGTTAAGTACTTAATCTTTGATTATGTCAAAGTCTCCCCATTCGAGGGTGTCCACGGCATAATTGGGGTTAAGCCACTTAGTCATGAAGGCAAGTGTATGCGCAACAAGGAATCTCTAATCCTCGATAAGAGAGGAAGAATACTCTAAGATATGATTCGGGAATCTTCGGCCGAAGTATCGAGCGTAATAAAGGAAAGCATTCCTATACGACTCAATTGAATCATATAAGAAGGAATAATCACATTAGGGGTTTGACATTATATATCCATACCCTAATGATGTGATTGAGAGTATTGTATTAGAGAATGATCGAATTACATTGTAATTCCAACTGAATAGGTTCTCCGAATAAACTTCTACATTAGCTTGGGTAGCTATGACATATGGTTAGATGTCACTCATAGCTTGTGAGTTCTTCTAGATGATTAAATGTAGTCATCAAAGAAGAAAGGTGAATTGAAATGAAGTTTCAATTCACTAAGTGATTGAATTAAATTGGATTGGTGCCAATCACCTCACTGCCTTGCTAATTAGAACCTAAAAGATTGTTCACCAATACACTATTGTAGTGAATAACTAATGGATGATGGAAATAATTAATTGGATGATTAATTAATTGTTGTGATTAATTTAGAAAGTCTAAAAGAAATCATAAAAGCGATAAAGATCGTTTTGGGCTTAAGAAACGTTCGGGTTTAATTGGGCCCATTGGGCCTAAACCCATTGGGCTTTTATTCAAGCATTGGATGACTTGAAATAATAAAAGCCCAAAGCCCAAACAAACAACAAAGAGGCCGGCCACTTTAAGGTGGAAAGGGTGAGATATTTAGTCAAGTGTTGACTAAGTTTTCTTTTGTCTATATAAGGAACTTTATAAGATATTGTTCATTAGGGTTTTTGTGTGGTTAAAACAACAAAGAGGCAAAAGAATATCTCTCTAAAATCACTACAAAGGCCGGCCACCAAAGAGGGTGATTTAGCTAACAATCTTTCACCCTTTTGGTTATTCCTTCATCCTTCTCACTACACTAGTGGGTGAGGATCTTTAGAGGTTTCCTACTTTGGGAACTTGAAGAAAACCTAGGAGCACTCATTGTAACAAAGTAGAGGAGGCAAGGAAGGAAGCTAGGCTCAAGGAGTTCAAGGAACAAAGGGCTTGGAGGTGGTCCATCCTTGGTCTCAAGTCTAGATCAAGAGGTATAAGACTAAACCTTCACTTTGTTCTTTTTCTCTAAAATTTTATTTGATGCATTATATAAACCTATGAACCTTGAAGGGGATTTGCATGACTATAGCTTTGATAATATGTTATAAATGCTTCCGCTGCTTTCGTATATCAAAATTGTTTTGGATATGCATGATAGTCATTTAGAAATCCCATACATGAATCTCATAGTTTTCCCTTCAGTGCATGCATGTGTGTGTGTTGGCGCGTGTGTATGTATGTTGTGTGGGTTTGGGCTCAAGCCCAAACCACCCCCTTTGTTCCTAAACAATCCAAACCCAAAACCCAATAGGTCCTAACCCTATTTAACCTAAACCTAAACCCTAATCCGGATCCAAACCCAAGACCCATTTCCATTTCCTGGAATTCTATCGTTTGGGCATAATTTGATAAATTGTACATTTTTGTGCTTAGTGAAGTTGCTAGTGAGGATTTCCTTAATCCTTTTCCGCACAACTCGGCTGTTACGGAGTATCTGTGAGTGGACCCCTTCTAAAATTTGCATAATTTTATAGTTTATTTGCATAAATGAAATGCATGCTTTACGAGTTTATGAATTGATTTTATGTTAAGCATGTTTATTGAAATGTTGATTATCGTCTCGTTATTTTGTAAGGAATTAATTGTTGGCCTATATTGAGCTATATTTTAATATATCGTATTTTTTATAAAAACCATGATCTGGTAGGCTATCTGATGGATGACGATAGGATGCTAGAACATGTTTTCAAAACCCCTCTTTATAGTATAAACGATGGATGACTTTATACTATGAAGTGGTTATATTTAAGAGTCGTAATTATTTGTGCGTACCTAGTGGACACTATGCCTCCTAGGCGAGGATCTGGTGTTGGCAGTTAGGCCAGGAGAAATAATCCTTACCTACGGGCTGAGGGACACGGAGCAGGCATTGGGCCGGAAGTTGGTAATCTCTAGTTACAGGCGCAGAGACCACGGTGTTGGCATAGGGTCGAGAGTTATATTTATTCAGTGATCTTACTGGCAGCACACCGTGCTTACGAGACGATCTGTGAGACAATTAATATTTTGATTTCCGCGATGTCTTTTGAGATGTTTTTGGCATGCTAGGGTTTTCAGTAAACCTATCACTTATTATGCTAGTAGTTTTCTTTATATAAACTGTGAGGGTTAGTATCTTGATAACTGTTTTATTAGTATTGTATATATGAACTTGGTCCACTCACCTTTGTTTTGCGTCCCCATTTAGGTCTTAGAAACGAGGACTATGACACAACGTACGAGGCATTCCCCTACTAGTAGCAGTTTATCACTCACTTGTGTGATATCTTGTAATGATGTTTCCTTTTGTGATCTTGAATTAGAACGTATTATGTGCACTCTAGACATTTCCTTAAACTTTGTTTATTACCTTTAGATTCTAATGATTATTCATGCTTATTTTCTCATAATCATTACTCTTGTATTCAATAAATGACTTTCATCACCCTTGAGTGTTGCCCAACACGTGCCTATCCGGGTATTTAGAGAATATCGGGGTCGGGACGTGTCAACTATGCTTTTACCTTTTGCCTTTCTTGGCAAGTTGTTAGGAAATAAGTTAAAGGGCAATTATTGCTTTCACTTTTAAATAACATAAAAATAATAAATAAGAGCTCGTTATGAATTGCTTTTAAAAAGACTAATGGTGGAGTTGTGAATATATTCATGGGATGCCTTGGATATAAAATAATGGAACCTTGCATATGTTAAGCGTCGGGGGAAGGGCTTGAGTATACAATTGGAGGTGGGGGGAAGTGCCTATATAATAGAGTGGAATTTGAGAATTAAATTATGAAAAGGCTTTTTAGCCAAATGGTCTCTGAGATTTGCATAACTCCTCACTTTGGCCCCTGAGATTTCAAATTAATGGAAGTGGTCCCTGAGATTGTCCACCATCCAACATTTTGTTCATTCCGTTAAAAACTCTGTTAAGTGTCCCGAAGCTCTTGGCCTGAAGTTTGGGCAATTTTCAAAGCTTATAACTCAATCGTTTCTTAACCAAATTCGACCCATAATATATCAAAATGAAGATAGGAAAGTGTAGAATAAGATTATATCTATTTGGAAGCCCAATGGTTGTCGTAGATGGTTGGAAAATAGCCTCAAAGTTGACTGGTCAGAGGGAAAACTAGAGTAAACTTTAAACGTTCATAACTTCTTCAATACTCAACGAAATCAAGTGATTCAAAAATGAAAATCATACTTCTCGATGAGACGAAGAGAATGGTACCTTTTTTCAATGGCTAACTCGTCGTGGTTTGTCCAAAAAATGACTCAAAAGTGGTTGTCTTGGTCTCAAGTTAAAGTCTCTTGCCTCCTTAAAGAACGAGGGATGCTATACCATATCACTGATGTCATAACAATTGTGTGATGTGCCATAAATCTCAACAGAAGGACACCAACAAGAATTGTAGTTGTTGTCAATATCAAATGATTGATTTACCATTGCTCTAGCTTAACTATACGACCGAGGTTGCTCTTCCCCAGCTGCCTATAAATAGGACCACATGCCCTCAAGCTCAATCTATACGATTATTCAAAGCTCAAGTGATTCTTTAATCAACCCAACTACTTTTCATCAACTCTCTTAGCTCTTCGACTACAAATCTAAGCTTTCTTGAAAGTGAACACTACCTACGATCTGTGAGATCTAAAACTTTTATAGCTTTGCCACCTCGTGGTATGATTCGGTTGACGAACATTCCTACCAACCCTGATCACCTCTTTACGACAATGTTTTCCCATTCATCCAATTTGACATCAATGATATCGATGGACTCCTCAAGCATTATTCTACCTTACACGATTCGAGTCTTGCTAAAGGTTACTACTTTCTTTAAGTTTTCAAGTTTATTTACTTTGCAGTTATTTAGACTAGCTTATCAACTTTTGAATCGCTTATGTAAGCGTTTGTAATCTTGATTTCATCATGAAATGATTATATTCAATTTCCAGTTTCTATTTCTTCTTTTATTTTCAATTCCAACTTAGGCAAACACTTATTTTGCATTAGATTTCAAGTCTTTGTTCCCTCATACATAAAAAGAGCTTAATTGAACCAGCGTCTCATTCGAAACACAATCATATGATTAAGAAGTTAGATCTACACGCAAACACAACATAATTCTAAACACACTATTGTTTGTTGGCAGTCTCCAACAGTGGCACACCTATTCTCTTTTTCTTCAAGCCATCTCTTGGCACTACGACTAAAAGCAACACTCGGAGCAAATACGTGTTGAATCCACTCATGCTCTATCTAAGTTTTGACACTAATAGACGGCAACAGTTGCGGTGATAGCAACGACAATGGTGACTGTGGTGGTGGTGCCAATATTAGGGTGCAGTGGTTGGGGTTGTAGAGGTTGCAATTATGGAAGGCATGGTGTAAATGATGGGGGTGGCGGTACATAATTGTGGTGCCAGTGGTGTAAGGTTGGTGGTGGCAACAACGGCGAAGAAGGTGGTGATGGCAACATCAATGGTGAGAGTATGGTAATGGCGGCAACAACGGTGGTGGTGGTGGTGAATGGTTGAGAGTTATATTGGTAGGATTTAAAATAAATAATGTGATTTTAATTACATAAATTGAAAAAATATTTATTAATCGTGATTTGCCCCCGTTATTATTTGGAAAAAAAAAAAAATTATCTCTAGATCTTTCTCCACAATGCTCCACCACCTGTTGGAAAGAAATTGCGTCTCCTCTCCTCCTACAGCTCGCTTCGCCTCCTTGAATCTTACTCTCTCAATCTCATCCTGGACGAAACTGAACCCAGCAAGCAATCCATTTTTCATCAATCGAGAAGAAGAGCAATCTCCAATTCTTCCACTCTCTCTCTCTCGCAGTCCCCCCAGAGTCTCAGTCTCAGTCTCACAGTTGGGGGAGCTCGGCAGACAATTCCAACTTCCAACCCAAAACTAATCTTGGTTTCCTTCCCAATTTACAAAAGGTATTATCCTTTCTTCTTCTTCTTCTTCCTATTTTCCTACAATTTCATAATTTAGAATACATGACTGCTTTTTCTATAGATGTATGGATACTAGATGGAGGTTAGGAAATTAGATTTTTCTTTTTCTTTTTCTGGTGGAGTGAAAGTAATGATTGGATCCACGTTTCTCTTTGAACAAATTTTCTTTTCTTTTCGGTTTTAGTTGACAGACAATTTTGCTCTTCCGCTACAAGATTTTGGATTCAAAACCTAAAAAACGCCAATCTAGTAGAACACCCGCAACTACAAGTTGATAAATATTGCTGTGCTATTCGGTTTTCGGTGTTGGCTGGCTTCCCCAAGTTGGTACATACATATTGCAGTGTGTCTGGCATCATCCTGAAACGAATGCTGTATTACGTGACTTGTCAATTTTGTTGAGAAAACGGAGTTTGCGTTTGTATTATGGAAATGGTCAAATTGGTATATCTGGAATTTCTCTTGTCCACTTATGGATGGATGCAGTCACACAAGTGCAGAGTAGACATCAACCTTCTGGTCGGCAAAGGTTCAGAGGAATTGAGGTGTGTATGAGCAATAGAGATTGATTTTAGGCCGAACGGGATATGGTGTTCCTTTTTCTTTTTTTGTACCCTTCGCTCTTCTTGGTATTAAATGGGGGAGAGCCCAAACGATGGAATGAAATGAAATGAGGGAGCACAAGTACGAGTACGACACTATATCAATGAATTGAAATGAATTATATACCATTCTCCTTAAGTTTATTTTTAATTTTTAAATTAGATTTTACCATTCTCTTTTGAAGTATAAATTCATCTCAGCCATTTAATTGCATTCACATTCAATACGTATCCTCACTATACATGCGCCTGGACTCCAAAATAATCATCCACACCTCTTTTCCTAGTCCATATGGTCGGTGTAGGAGCAAAACACGAAATGAAATGAATTATGATGAATTATGTACATACCAAATATCTCTCTCTCTCTCTCTCTCTCTCTCTCTCTCTCTCTCTTCCTTGCTGCTCTAGGATTATTGTACTTTGTGATAGGATAGACTAACGGCCAGGATATATCCTTTTTACAATTGCTGTGAGTACTCTATTTCATTTCATGTAGAGTTCTCGAAGGATGTGTTTACTTATTGCTCCACTCATGCTCTATCTCTCTCCAAATATTAAAAGGTTGTCAAAAACTTATGTCATTGCTGTGCTAGTTTGTGTGCTAATCCTCTTCCTCTGTGCAGGCTAGCAATTTCTGTTGTCCTTGGTTTTACCAAAGGAAGCTGATTACTGGTTATCTCTCAGTGAAGAGTTGTATAGCTTGGATTATATCTGCACGCAAGAGTCCGTATTCTTGAAAAACGAAGAAAGGTTATGTTTAGATTGGAGGTGTAGCCACCCCAACTAACTATCTTGGCTCCGCCATTGGTCAATTCCAATGGCATTTCCTAGAACCCAAAAGTCCAAACCAGGACCTAGTTCCCCAATCATATTCCTTGCCATCTGCATAGCTGCCATTGCACTCCTCTTCCTCTTTTCTTCTCTCATATCCACTAGTGGGTTCTATATATCCTCTCCAAAAATCCTAGAAAGCATGCCCAAAGACAAGTACAAGAGCCAAAACCACCAAAGTGGCCATGAGAAGTACCTCTACTGGGGTGACAGAATTGATTGCCCTGGAAAGCACTGCGAGTCTTGTGCAGGATTGGGCCACCAGGAGTCCAGCCTTAGGTGTGCTCTTGAAGAGGCCATGTTCCTTCAGAGGTACATTTTAAGGTTCTAAAATTATTGAGTTTCTTTTTGTTCTGGTTTGGGGTTTATGATGTGTTTGGTTGCTGGAAGATTTGTGGGAGACACTGAATTGTAGATCATATATGATATCATAAGAACCAAATGGGGAGAACTTCTAGGTTAGCATTTTAGATCTGGAAAGTTTGTGACCTTGTAGATCATATAGATTTTTTATTTTTTTGGAAGATTTAGCTGTTATTGATTTGTGCAGCAGGGAATTTTGGATTTATTTTTTATGAACTACATTGTTCTGTTACATCGAACTGGTTGATGTTGATGTTATGGTGGTCCTTGTAATATGTGATTAAGCATAATAATCACTAAACTAGTAGTTTCCATGAAATTTGAGGATCGGAGATCAAGAAATACCAAAGAGCGACCGTTTTCGTTACCTAGGATCTATCTTGCAAAAGAACGGAGAATTAGATGGAGATCTCAACCATAGAATACAAGCTGGATGGATGAAGTGGAAGAGTGCATCCGGCGTGTTGTGTGACCGCCGTATGCCACTGAAGCTCAAGGGAAAATTTTATAGGACGGCAATAAGGCCGGCGATGCTGTATGGCACAGAATGTTGGGCGGTGAAACATCAACACGTACACAAAATGGGTGTAGCGGAGATGAGGATGCTTCGTTGGATGTGTGGGCACACGAGAAAGGATAAGATTAGGAATGAGGATATCCGGGGTAAAGTAGGAGTAGCCGAAATTGAAGGAAAGATGAGAGAAAATCGGTTACGGTGGTTTGGACATGTGCAAAGAAGGCCTACTGACGCTCCGATTAGAAGATGCGACTATGGGACAGAGGTTCAGGGCCGAAGGGGTAGAGGAAGACCTAGGAAAACTTTGGAAGAGACTCTAAGAAAAGACTTAGAGTACTTGGATCTAACGAAGGACATGACACAGGATCGAGCACAATGGCGTTCTAAGATTCATATAGCCGATCCCACTCAGTGACTTGGATTTTCCAAGTCTCCAACCAAGAAGTTTTCCTCACTCGGGAAATTAAGGGAACACTACCCCAACCTACATGCTCCACTCAGAAAGCTTCAACATACAAGCTTCAACAAAAGAAAATTCAAAGAACTTAGCGAAGAAGGCTTTGGTGTATTTAAACACAATACGTTGAAATGAAGGAAAACTTATTTATTGATATCCCCGATAAGCTACAAATATGTACATATACATGAGTCAAAATAAACACACAAGAGGGAGCCTTCACAAAGGTTGCTTAGGAGAAGTCTCAGCAGTCGGTAGAGCCCCAGAAAGAGAAGGCACCGGAGGGGGATCATTTGGAGCCTCAGTACTGGACAGAACCCTAGAAGGAGGAGGCATCAGAGGTTGATCATTTGGAGCTTCATTACGCGGTACAGCCCCAGAAGACGAAGGCAATAAATGCCTTTGGAACAAACCCACAAATCTCTGATGATCAAGTAAAACCTGACCATCAGTTTCCTTCATCTGGTCAAGCTTCCTCTTCATGTTTGTAGCATAGTCATGTGCGAGCCGGTGCAACTGTTTATTCTCATGCTTGAGCCCTCTAATCTCCTGTTTGAGACTCATCACTTCAGCCGCCAATGATTCAACTTGGCGGGTTCGAGCAAATAGGCGTTGGGCCATATTAGACACAGAACCTGCACACTGAACACTGAGAGCCAGCGAATCCTTAACAGCTAACTCATCAGACCGTTTGGAAAGTAGTCTGTTATCTTTGGGAGTGAGAAGGTTCCTGGCCACCACCGCAGCGGTCATATCATTCTTCATCACGGAATCCCCAACGGTAAGAGGACCAGTTAGGGGAGACGAAGGATGGGCGCCATATGTTGTCTGGAGAAGGCGGGGCTGCCTCTTCAACAAGGTTCAAGTCAAAACGACGGTCGGAGGGGCCAGACATTTTCAAAGGTGTTGAAGAGAGAAGAGGTCGGACAAATCAAGATCTTAGAAGTGCAAGAATGAAGCTTCTACTGGTGGAGATTCAAGTGTGCTTTGGAACTTAATGCCAGCCTCTATAAAAATCTGCACTCGACGGAGCTTCAGAAATCAAAGAGGCGCCTGCTCAGAAATCGAAGAGGCGTTTGCTTTCTCAAAAGTTGGGCTGCTTAGAGATCACGAGGGTTGATCTCAGAAATCGAAGAGCCGTTTGCTTTCTCAAAAGTTGGGCTGCTCAAAGACCACGAAGGCCGATCTCAGAAATCGAAGAGGCGCTCGCTTTCTCAAAAGCTGGGCTCCCTAGAGACCACGAGGGCCGATCTCAGAAATCGAAGAGGCACCTACTTTTCCAGCCTTGTCAGCACCTGTCACACGCACACTCAGCTTTGCGGAAATTATGGGCATTCTGTCAAAGACTTCTGGGGAAGTAGAAAACACATGAATCTTACTGTTCAATCACCCACTTCCCACACGCAACAATAGCTCATGGGTACCACAGATAACTTTGCCAAAGTTCTCTGCCAAAGTTGAGCACGTGAAGCTTGCAGCTCCCACTACATCGCTCTGACCAAGAAGGGTAAAAGAATAGCAAAGAAACAGCACTAACAAAGTTTAGACCCATAAATTTTGAAGGTCTAGCTACCATATTATTACCCACAAGGGTAAAGGAACAGTACCACTGCTGGATAATTGGAAAGTCCCTGTGTGTCAACCTCTGTGCTTCGTGGCAAGGTAGACTAGCAAACATGCCCAACCTTTACTCACATTCGAGAAAACACTCCCAACAAGATTGCTTGCTCCAAAATCGAAGAGGCACCGTCCTCCGAATCTCGAGAGCCAGACTCCCAACATGACTACTTTCTCAAAATCGAAGAGAGGGTAAAGGAACAGTACCATTGCTGGATAATTGGAAAGTCCCTGTGTGTCAACCTTTGTGCTTCGTGGCAAGGTAGACTAGCAAACATGTCCAACCTTTACTCACATTCGAGACAACACTCCCAACAAGATTGCTTGCTCCAAAATCGAAGAGGCACCGCCTTCCGAATCTCGAGAGCCAGACTCCCAACATGATTACTTCCTCAAAAATCGAAGAGACACTGCTCTCCGAATCTCGAGAGTCAGACCCCCAGCATGATTGCTTTCTCAAAAATCGAAGAGGCATCGTTCTCCGAATCTCGAGAGCCAGATACCACAGACCACTTTTTCAAAGTGCTCTGACAGAGTTAAAACATGTGAAACTGGCAGCTCCCACTACCGTGCTATGACCAAGCAGGGTAAAGGAATAGCATTACTACTTGTTGTTAGGGAGACTCCTATATATGTCGACCTCCATCCCCAACGACAGGCAGACCTGCAAAAATGCTCAACCCTTCATCATATCTGAGAGGGCACTCCCAACGAAGCCTTTCGAAATATTCAGCTTTCTTTCCCCCCGATAATACCTCTGCAAACAAGCTATACTAGAGCAAGAATATCTCATATCATCAGGGTTAAAAGCAAGAGTATCCCATATCATGCTTTTTCCCTGTCTTTTCTTTTGGCCTTGTTTTTACCTGCAAGACAAGGAGAAAGAGAGCAATCAGTCAGCACTTGGAATCAAGCTTCCAGCCAGGAACTGACTGCCTGGAACCCCTTACCTGATTACTTACCTGGCATTGCTCTCGAGTACTCATCTTCAACATCTTATGTTTCCAGGGAAGATTCCGCATCTGCTTGAGGAACAGATAGGGCAAGTGCGAAGGATACAAGGAAGCATGTGGAGACAAGCGTAACAGCACACGTGCCGATACATCCATTACTCTGTCAAAAGCAAAAGTATCCCATATCAGCAGGGTGGAACGTACTCTAGATTTGATGGACTTGTTTTGACCCTCAAATTCTTCAGTCGGCCTTATACTCTGGAGGAAACCAGAAAACCCTCCAGCTCAGTTCAAGAATAAGCCTGTGGAAAGTTACTTCTTCAAAAGCAAAAGTATCTCATATCATCTCTTCTCATTTTTCTTCTCTTTATCCTTCATGCTGCTGCAAGATGGGGAGAAGGTGAACAATCAGTCGGAGCTCTGATTGCTTACCTTGTCTGTCACCTCTTTCAGCAGACCCCCTAGCTCGGCGACTTGGGGGACTCCTACTACATGGTTTGTATCGCGCTTGACCAAGCCTGAAACTACAAGTAAGCTTCAAGTGAAATTGATACATTACCTTGTGCATCTCCACCAGTTAAAGATACCACCCCTGGATGGAGGAAGAGTACTTCCAGAGAAGATGCCACATCTACCTATGAGACAGATAAGGCAAGTCAAGACGACACCACACTCCGATACTTAGAAGTTTCGTGATTACGAGATCATTCTCCCACAATATTTCCTAATGTCATTTGTACTAAATCATTCACTTCGTACTCACTAAAGGAGAGCTTGAACCTATGTACTTGTGTAAACCCTTCACAATTAATGAGAACTCTTCTATTCCGTGGACGTAGCCAATCTGGGTGAACCACGTACATCTTGTGTTTGCTTTCCTATCTCTATCCATTTATATACTTATCCACACTAATGACCGGAGCAATCTAGCGAAGATCACAAAAAGCGACCGTTTTCGCTACCTAGGATCTATCTTGCAAGAGAACGGAGAATTAGATGGAGATCTCAACCATAGAATACGAGCTGGATGGAAAGAGTGCATCCGGCGTGTTGTGTGACCGTCGTAGGCCACTGAAGCTCAAGGGAAAATTTTATAGGACGGCAATAAGGCCAGCGATGTTGTATGGCAGAGAATGTTGGGTGGTGAAGCATCAACACGTACACAAAATGGGTGTAGCGGAGATGAGGATGCTTCGTGGGATGTGTGGGCACACGAGAAAGGATAAGATTGGGAATGAGGATATCCGAGGTAAAGTAGGAGTAGCCGAAATTGTAGGAAAGATGAGAGAAAATCGGCTCTGGTGATTTGGACATGTGCAAAGAAGGCCGACTGACGCTCCGGTTCGAAGATGTGACTACGGGACAGAGGTTCAGGGCCGAAGGGGTAGAGGAAGACCTAGGAAAACTTTGGAAGAGACTCTAAGAAAAGACTTAGAGTACTTGGATCTAACGGAGGGCATGACACAAAACCGAGCGCAATGGCGTTCTAGGATTCATATAGCCGACCCCACTTAGTGGGAAAAGGCTTTGTTGTTGTTGTTGTGTATTAATTTACTTGTTGTTTGCAGAACTTTTGTAATGCCTTCGAGAATGTGTCTCAACCCAATGCACAACAAGAAAGCAATCCTTCATCACTCAAATGATGGAATTTCAGAAGAAAGGTAAGTTTGTACCTCTTAGTTGGGTTTCAAGAGAATGCCTTTTAACTGTGGAATAGTTTTACTGCTAAGAGAATGCCTTTTAACCGTGGAATAGTATTACTGCTACTTGTTGCAAAAAATATGCCATTTCCGTGCTTAAAGTTGGCAATTTTCTTACAAATAAAACATATTACATCTATAGGTGTGTAGGTTGAGATATGTACTTTACCTCAATATCCTTTTTGTATGTACTTATTTGGTTTATCAGAACGCATATAGCATACAATCTGAAGGGCTTCATTTCATTTGTTAGATGGGCAGCAAACTCTTGTTCCATGGACTCTTTGTATGATATGGATCTCATATCGGGCACTGTACCAGTAATTTTAGACAATTCAAAAAAGTGGTATCAGGTGGTGGAAACAAGTATGAAGTTGGAAGCTAGAGGAGCCGCTCATGTGGAAGGAGTTAATCGTGTTGATCTCAAAGAAAACAGTCGTTTCTCAAATCTTTTAATCATAAACAGAACTGCAAGCCCTCTCTCATGGTAAAATTTTATTTCATTTCCCTTTTTGTTAAAAGCTTTAGGTTGGCTTCTTCAGTGGTGATGAACCTCTACTTCTGTTGCAAGTGTGGGTGTCAGTCGACTTGTCGAGATAATAGTTGACAAACATATTTTGGGAAGAAAGATTAATTCTGGTATTGGTTTAAATTATAACTCCTAAATATAGGCTCTAGATCAATTTCAATTTTTGTAGATATATTCTCCACTTTGAATCATAATGGCCCAACTAAAGTTGTTAGGTTTGTGATACCCATAGCCTCATGTTACTAATTTTTTCAAAGGTGTGGCAAGGCAGTTTTGGTCCAGAAAGCGAGGCTTAAGCCTCTTGAGACATAAGTTATTTAGTTCAAATTTTTTTATGTAATATCAATAATTAAAAAGAGAGCGCTAAATAGAAAAGAGAACTAGAGAGAGAATGAATTCAGGAGATGCGACTTTAGGAGGCTGGTTTGTGTCTTTGGGAAGAAATCATGGTTATGAAAATTTGATTTGGGGCTGAGTTGTGGGGAAGAACAAGCTGTTGGGGAGTCTAAAGGGAATAAACAAAAACTGCAACAATTTTGCTGAAAACCAGCCTGCAGAATTTTGGTCTATAAGCATATAAATGAAACGGGTTGTTTCATAAAGTAACCTAGATGACTTAAGAACATGGTGTTATATAGCTTTAAAAACAGTACCACAAAGAAAACAAAAAAGGCATTGGATTCCTTGTCTTCTTTCCATGGGTTTTACGTCAGCTGCCGTTGCAGACTCTGGAAGTTGCAGTACCTTGCACCCTGCAATCTGCTATACATCCCAACGCCTGAGGCAATTTACTGATAACTTGTCTTGACCCCCGCCACAGAAACGGCATCCAAAACACTGGTTGTTACTTGATCCCTCTAGTTTTATTAAATATCTGAGTTCCTTGACTGAAAAACAACTGAGTTCCAATGCCAAGACGGGATTTGGGTTAATATGCAATTGAATATCGGTTTCACTTGGTTGAAAGTTTTGAAAGTCTCCATTCAGGTTGTTGGATGGAACTTACTGTATTTCTTTTAGTTAAAAAATAACCAAGATGTGTCTCTTTAGTTAAGTTTCATGAATATTAGAATATCAATTTTAGTTGTTTGAGGAATTCATAATGGCAGCCATATAGGTTTATGGAGTGCAAGGATCGAAAAAATAGTAGTGCTATAATTTTGCCTCACTCCTTTCTTCCCTCAATGGTGGCAAAGAAGCTAAGGAATGCAGCTGATGAGGTATGTATTATAATGGATCCAACCAAGTTTAAATTCCATATCTGACTATTGTTTAATGCTTCCATACAATTGCTCTCTCATCTGTTTGCTTATTGTATACGAGTCTAAGTTATATATATGTCATCTGTAAACATATCCCAGTAGCTTCCCAGTCACTATTATAACTAAAACTGGAGATGTTGTTGGCCAACCATCCCTCAAAGTTTCCGTTTCCAAAGTCTCCATATATTTGATTGCCTACTCAATTGTGGATTGATCTGCCTACTTTGTCGTTACCAACTTGGTCTGTGGAATTTTATCAGAACTTTATCTGGTCTCTTCATTATGACTCTTCTCCACTGACTGTCCGAGCTTCTTCTATATGGATGCTTTGGAACTTGGAATGGATTAATACAATTGAATTACATGTAAACAATAGTTAATTGTCTTGAATGAAAGTTTTTGTAACACTCAAAATCTTAACATATGCAACAACGAACGATTACGTAATAATTTTTTTTTTCCGGTTACATAATAATTCATAATAGTAAAAGGCTGATAACTGAACAAAATATCAGGATAATACAATTCATAGTTAAAAAAACATACAAGAATCATGGTAAATATGAATGGTATAGGGGGCATTTGATAATGACATACAAAGATGCCTGTGAGATCTGGGTGGGCTAAATAGCTGAAATGGGTCCAATGTCATGTTGAATTTTCATGTAACTCATATGACAAACACCTCGAGTAATTAGCTAGGACAGGATGTCTCGAAACCTCGGTTTGAATTTGAATTTTTCTTTTATGTTTGGAAATTTGTCACATGTAGCATATAATCAATTTGGGATAGGATTTTGACTTTTAAGAAAAAAGGTTATGCATTAATTATACTGCAGAATTACCCTAGGCCCGTCTATTTCCCCTTGAATTATTTCCCGTGCATGTCAGTGCTGTTACTGACTTTGACCAAATCATTCCACAGATTAAGGAACTCCTTGGTGATTATGATGCCATGCATGTTCGTCGTGGTGATATAATAAAGACCAGGAAGGACAGGTTTGGCGTCAACAGGACCCTGCATCCTCATGTGGACAGGGATACTCACCCCGAGTTTATTCTCCGCAGAATTGAAAAATGGGTCCCATCTGGACGAACTCTTTATATCGCTTCAAATGAAAGGACACCGGGTTTTTTTTCACTTCTCTCAGTCAGGTAAGTCCTCAGGCATGTTCAGGTTTTTTTCACCATCTACTTTAGAGATGAAAACCTGTGTTCATTGTGCTAAAACGAACTATTTATCATGCTAACGTGTTAAGGACAGCTCAGAGCTCGCTTGTGGTGTGTCAAACTTTCAGTTATTTGTTCTGGCTAGTTATGGTTTAACTTAATCCATTGGGTACTGCTGGGTTCGGTATGAAATCTAAGTACCATTGGCCGAAAATGTGTAGGATTCAGGTTTAGTAATTACAATGCATTTGGAAAGATCTTATGGATTAGCTAATACTGAAGTAGTCGAGCCAAAAGACATTTGTAATTATTTGATACTGGAGTTGTGAACATTCATGACAGAATGAATAATGTGTTTGATCTACGCATACACTATGACCTCTGAAGTCATCTAATGCTCGTTCTGTCTAATAAACTTCACGTTAATCTCCTGTTACTGTTCAATATTTGCAATGGAATCCTCAATTTTCATGTGCTTACTTTACTAGGAAGCTCAGAGAATTTATTTACTTATTATTAGTCTCAACTCTCCAGTGGGGTATACAGTTTCTATATGATTTGACTATTTTTCAGATTGTGCTATCATTAACTTGAAGGTCCTTTTGGCTCCGAAAGAATGTTCAAGGGGTTAAATTTGTCATACAAAGTTGTTGCTGACCTCGTTTCTGACCATGTAAATATATGCAGATACAAATTGGCGTATTCATCAAACTATAGCCACATCTTGGAGCCCGTGATTGAGAATAACTACCAGCTGTTCATGATTGAGAGGCTTATCATGACGGGTGCTAAAACGTTCATCAACACATTTAAAGAAGATGATACAGATCTCAGTCTTACTGATGACCGAAAGAAGAACACCAAGGTGTGGCAAATACCAGTTTATACCATGGATGAAGAGGGAACCTAGCATTTTAGCTCCGCAGAAAGGTTCCTAAAATTTTTGAACGCCCGTACAGTCGTACTGATACTCTAATGCACATAATAATACAAGCAGAGGCTCGCGTTTCATGCTACGAGAGCTTCCCAGTGAAAATTGAATTGTGGCATAAATTACAAGTTGCAGTTTTTCAAATATTTGTTTTAACTGGAAGGTTAATTTTTTATTTCTTATATACTTCGACCCAGTTTATTTGTATTTGATATGTTCCTGATCGAAATCTTAAACATGTAGTCCTGTTAAACTTTAGGCCCCGTCTGGTGGACAGGATGGGATGGATTATTTATTAAATTGGACTTGAAGTTCAGTCGATGTTTGGTGAGACCAATTGGAACATGGACTGAATTGGCTATGAATCTGAAATAAGGGAAAATATGATGGGTTATGTAACTTAATCATACGCGTGGGTTTTGTAACCCGTTCTTGCCAATCCAATCCTGCCCACCAAACGGGCCTTAAAGAGCCGTCTGATTAAGGAGTTCACCTAGACATGAAACACGTGATCAATACAAACCGGTCAATCCAAAGAATCTAGAGAATATTCCGGTTAAAAACCTGGATATAACTTTCGGGTAAAGAACAGTATCTCTTACACGATTCCGATACAAGATCTAATCCTGTACGTAATCACAGCCAGAAGTAAGTGCTTAATGCAAGCTCGGCTTCAGTTTTCACCGGAAAAATGAATGAAGGAACCTCCATAGTTTGGTAAGAGAGTTGCTCTCCTAAGTCCTGATATGCAAAATCTTTGATATAGATTTGAAATTAAGCCATATCAATTCGTCTGATATGGATTCAACGTGGTGGTCGACAATAAAGGGGTTGGACCGTCGAAATGTTAAATTTTAAACGTAAAATTTAAATTTGAAAGCTTATGTGGCATATTGATCTTTTTTTATATTTTGTTTTCCAATCGATATTTCAAATTTAAACTATTATTTATTACATTATTTACTTTTCATAGTTGTAATTAGTATTTTAAAACAAAAGATAAGTATACAAATTATGAAAAGCATTTATTAATTACTAAAAATATATTTAAAGCTACTGTCAAATTTGACAAGCAACTTCGTCTGCTACCTTTCCATCTCATGCCACATAAGAATTGGCATTTCGGTTGAAAAACATTAGTGATATCTTTTTTCACCGTTATTGCTGATGTGGACTTTTTCACATATCATTTGGAGATACTCTTAGGTGTTAAATTCATATTAGGTAGACCAAATCAGTTTTCTCGATCTTGTAGTTTCCGCTGAGGGAATTCGTGTGGACCCACATAAGAATTCTTAGTGATTGCATTGCTTTTTAATAAGTTGATGAATGTTCCGACGATGCTTATGAATCTAACGGATCAAGTATTCCACGCATTTTCCGACGGATTCAAAATTGTCCTATTGATAACATTCTTGTCTACTCCAACAACAAGGTCAAACTTACTAAACATCAACATCCAACTTTATACCAAATTCCACAAATGTCAACCTTGCTTAGATTACATACCTTTATTGGGAAACGTGAGCGTAGTAGAGGATATTCTTACCAAATCCAAGGTTGTGACGATTGGAAATCGAAAATCCCTCGAGTGTCATGAATTACGAAATACCATCGGTCTTGTCGATTTCTATCGACGGTTGTCAACGATTCTTCAACCATGATCTTATTCCCATTTTTGGCAAGAAAGTAAACCAGTTTTGTTTGAGATGATGAGTGTGAACGAAATTTCCGACAATTGAAGTGTTGTCTCACCCAATCATTATTTCTTTTTTCTTACACCTCTTGATGACATTGATCAACTTCGAATTTTATGGTGATGTTTTACTGAACGTGTAGCTGGGCACTAATGCAGCATGATCGAGTAACGCTTATGCCTTTCGATGGTTGGGACTACAAGATGTGAGCCATCCTATCTACAACCTAGAGTCAACGGCTATCATCGTGGCTTGAAAATCCAATGACACCCCTCCATGGAGCCTATGGCGATGATTCAGTGTTTGTCGACCAACTCACTAAGCATACTATTTATCAGTCCGTGAGGACTATACCTTGAACCATTTGGCAGAATCCCGTATTCTTGGAATTTCTTTGACTCTTTGACATTTTGGTCCACATCAGCTTTGTTCGTAATTCCAGAATCGCCTCGTGGTCCTAAAAGATGTTTAGTCATTCTTGGGTCACTCTATTGTTCTTTGTATCATTTCTGAATAAGTCAGACTGTCCAGGAGAACCACTCAGATGTTGAAGTTTTTAATTAAGATCACCAGTCCTTCAATTGCCTAATCAACACCTTATTCAGCGAATCTTCACCACTAGTGATTGAATATTACGGGATTTATTGTTTTAGCGAGATGTTGTGAATATGGGTTTGGGGAAAGTCTAGGTTTCCATTCGTCAGTTTCATTAGAATATTGTTCAAGTCGAGTTAGCGTTTGACAACTTCAAACTACTACCCCATAACCAAGTTAGGTACTTACATGTATTCAAGCATTGGAGTTGTATATTCAATATCGATATCTTGTACTTTGAATTTAAGGGACTTGTTTTGACCCTTAAACTCTTGAGTGTTCTTTTAGCCTTCTCGACATGGTTTCTCGCCAAATCAATGAGGAATTCATGATGGATCGACTTGGATGAAATGTGCGCCCAATTTCATATCAATTCTTCTGGGAACATTAGGAGAATAACCTTTTCACAACCTTACCAGACTTACTAAGAAGAATTCCAAGTGGTCTTAAAGATTGAGCCGTCTTTTAGTATGGAATTGGTGAAGGTAGAAATGTTGGTTTTGAGTCTGGTGAGTTTGGCACTAGTTTCTGTGTGTGGCTCGAAACGAAAACCATCATTCTAAGGAAGTGGTCAGAGTTATGGTTCCTTAAGAGGTTTTCAAATCTTGTATTCCTTGATCAGGAGAGTGATCACAAATGAATGTTTCACGACATGTGTTCGCCTCTACACATTTTTCAACTATTTCACTCCAGGACTTTATTATTCGTGTGTATGTGGATGTTGAAGCATCTATAGTAGCTTTGATTGGTGCCCTTGGGGGAGTACGGGAGCATAATTGAGGCATGAATCGAACTATCTAGGCACATTCTCACATTGAGGGGCAAAATGGTATTTTGGCACCCTTATGAACTTCTTGCTTGCTTATTAAGACAACAATAAGTTATCAGCATTACGGGTTGCAGACTATAATATCAGTGATGTGAAAATTAATTTGACACACAAATTAAACCCTATTGTTGACAATTGTAGCAAAGATATAAGTAGGGATCATTCTAGACCGGTGATTAATTAGGGCTGCTAATCTACACAAATATGACTCAAAAATACCAAACTAGACTTAGAAACACTCAACTAGACTCTATAGACTCAAAACTGACTGAAAACACTCAAAACAGCAAAACTAAGTTAAAAAGACTCAAAACAGACTCTAGGGAGCTATTTGGACGAATTTAAGACTAGTAAGACTCAAAACACTAAATTGGACATATTTAAACACTTTTCTAACTAATCTAAGACAATTAATTAGAAAGGGGATTGATTTGGACGAAATTTAACTAAATTAAATAGATTGCAAAACAAAGTAAATTAGGTGATTTGAATGGTGAAAACTTAGCCAGAAGATCCTTCTCCACACATGACATATGCATATAAACCAATTTCCAATATTGTTCCCTTAGACTATGAATGACAACACCCCAAGTTAACCGTGACAATACAAATTAACCATCGGATTTTCCTTAACTCATTGAATTGGACATGATACACATCACAACCAAATTATCCTTCTCAAGATCCCTAACTATGAAAAGCATGATAGAAAAACATATCAAAGGTCATTAAGTTCTTTGAAAACCATAAGCATTGACGAGCCATTTGTAACTATGAAAAGCATGATACTCCTGCCAAGGATTTACTTAACACAATCATGACTAGTGACTTCCACAACTTGTGAATATAAGTTCATAACGATAGGTGAAACTCCCTTATACTCTAGCATCAAGTTTATGCACGCAAACTAAGTATGCATCCCCAATCAACATACATAAACAAGTTTTAATAACTCAGATAAGCAAATCACATTCAAGACTCAAGAAACAATAACTGGATGTAATCAATTCATATAAAGCATATAATCATGGCTTCAAATTCACCTCTTACTAAAAAGAAATTAGTTCCTCATGTTCGCAATTAAACAAAGATAACTTAAATTAGACATTGAAAATAAAAGATAGAAAACACCTAAGACCGCTTCAGCAATCCAATGTTGAATGACAAGGCACGGCGAAGGGCTCCAAAGAATTCTCTCAATTGTATCTGAATATGTGGGTGTGTGGTGTAGGAAAATATGGTAGAGGGTAGTGATTTGAATTGTGGTAGAAAATATGTATTTATAGGCTAGGGTTTTGCGCAAAGTAGTGGAGGAGAAGGATTACACAATCCTAGAGGAATAGGACTAGGAAATTCAACACAAAGCTTCTAGAAAGGGATTAAATTCGTCAGATTTCTAGAGGGAAAAAGGATTAGGTTATTTGCATTGTTTCAGGGCTTCTAGAATTAGATATTAGGTATTCTAATGTGATAAGGAGTCCCCCTTGCAACTGGAATTAAGGTAGGATAGGATTAGGATAGGATAAGATAAGATAAGGTTAGTTTGGATGAGATAAGGTTGGATAAGGTTTTGGATAATGTTCCTTCATTTTAGCTGATTCCTTATCTTCTTTGTCTTAGATTTATTTCTTCAACTCTTTAGCACATTCCTTGACATCTTTGGTCTTCAAATTCGTCCATCCATCTTACTCCACTCATAAGCTATCCATTTGATGCCCAAAACTGCTTCAAAATGCTTCATATTGCACTTTCTTGCCAACTTTGTCATTTGGACCTACAAACACATGAAAATAGCTTAAAACACTATAATAAACACAAACTAATTATGAAAATGCAAGAAAACAAGCTAACTAAGTCGCATAAATATGCTCCTATCAATCGGTGGCTTATTTGCTGGATTCACGAAGCAAGTGGGTAAGTCGGCCCATCTACGACAATAGTTACTAATTATTTATGGTTAGGATTTGACTCAAGGCACACACATTCTCAGAGTACATGACGTTTCGAATGATTGGGCGAGACCCATTTTCATTTTTTGTTTTAATTTTCAGTATAAGGATTTTTAACTTACATTATTATTAAATATATATGTATTTTTGACGTTACAAATGTTTAGGTGAATCGTTTCCACTTTCGGTTTTAAATTCGGTACAAGTATTTGAATTCTATGTTATATATGTCTATTTTGACATCACTTGATTATACGTATAAAT